GATTACATACTTGTTTGTCTTTCAAATAGGGCTGTTCATCGGTCTAAGACCAGACCGAACCGGACAGACCCGGATCGGACCGAAGACCGAAATGAGTAAATTCAAGGATCGAAGACCGGACCTAAATCTACTCGGGTTTGGACCGGACCGGACCGAAATATTTAGGACCGAACCGGTCCGGACCGATTGGACCGAAAAAATACATATTTTTTTTAATTATTTTGATCAATTAAATATATTTTAGATTTTTTACTTTGTACCATTCAAATAGAAAATGAATAAAAAAAAACATGCAACCTTAAAATGGATACACAATATGAACTATTTCAATGTAGAACCATAAAAACAAATATGAAATGTTTTTTTTAGATTTTTTTAAAATTACTTAATAAAAAACCTTTTTAATTAAATAAATTAAAATATCTATTAAAATAGAGCATTAAAGTGTAATACGAAACTTAAAAAGTAGAGTTTTAGTATTTAGGTCTTTTAGGTCCAGTAGGGTCATTAGGTCCAACCGGTCCAATCGGACCTAAATCATTTCGGGTTTGGACGGACCGGACCGAAACCCGAATGCCTAAATTTTCTGGACCGAAGACCGACCCAAAATCCATTCGGTCCTGGTTCGGTCTGGATCTAACGGTCCGGTTCGGTCGATTTTCTCGGTCCGGACCTAAATGTGAACAGCCCTACTTCCAAATTGAAGCATTTACAATTTTACACTATCAAAATGCTATAATTTGGCATTATGTATTGCATTTCAAAATGCTTTTGGTATTATGTATTGACATTATTTGTCATTGTAAGCTATCTTGGTATAATATTTTTAAATATAATGTTTTATTTTTATAAATAAAATATTCCGTATGAATTTAATTATGTATATTTCTCAATATGGTAAAGCGTCTAAGAAAAGTCTTTAAATTATTTTACGAGAGAGAGAGCGTGTGTCATATATATATATATATATATATATATATATATATATATATATATATATATATATATATATATATATATATATATATATATATATAAAATATAAATAACTGTTCTTGGGCCACAACTACAAGCTTGAGCTTTTGGTTGAGTGGGTTCATTCATTCATATATATATATATGTGTGTGTGTGTGTGTGTGTGTGTGTGTGTGTTCTAGTGAGAATGTCATCTTAGAAGAGAAATGAGAATGAATCTGGTGCTTTAGATTGTGCGATCTAATGGTCAGGATTGCATCAAAATTAGGTGCGCCAAAATGGTTTGAAAATGCATCATGTTGAAATGCACCAAAATCCTTTGAAAATACACAATCTCAAAATCTGAGCGCATGATGCAATCTGAGCCGCACGACGCATCAGTTTCAACGGCTAGATTTTATTCTCATTTCTCTTTACAAGGTGCATTCTCACAGGAACCGGAGTGTGTGTGTGTGTATGTATATATATATTTCTTCCGTCCTACAATTATTTTTAACAGATTTATGTTTTTAGACGAATTCCTACATAGATTGCTCATAAATTGTGGAAAAAGTACATTTTGTTATAATATGAATTTCTTTTTATTTGGTTTATTTTAAGATGCAATTTTTATATATCAAATTTCTACAATATTTTTTATCCAAAAAATATTTATTAATCGTCACTATGTGTCCACAATGTTCTTTACTGTTATACGATATAAGTTTATTTTAGTGCGTTTTCGAAAGTAATGAAGTGTTTATCATCATTTTCTTTTTCATAGATTATTAAACTTTATGTTGTATGTTGTTTTCGTATTGCAGGTGTTTCAGTCTACTTCGCCCTATACCGTAGCCAGATTAGAAGAGGTTAGAGAGTTTTGGGCGGGGGGTTTTCTCGATGAACTAGTTTAAGTTTTGTATGGTAGTGTATAGTATTAGTTGGATGTAAGAAGAGTGTAGTTGTTTGATATTTTTTAAGATGTACAAGTGATGGATGCAAATGTTTATTTTTTGGTTTAATTTGTTTTGTGGCATTTGAGTTTTGCGAATGTATTTGTGTTCATTGTTGGTTTGTGTTAGTTGTTGTTGTGTTGATAGGTTGAATTGTTGTTGTTGTTGAATCTGTATATTTTGCACAAAATTTTGTGCAAAATTGAAAATGTAATGGATTGGGAGCAAACAAAAAAACCTTTTGAAAAAAATTCTCTTTTGCATCGGTTATTTGGTAATAACCGATGCAAAAGCCCCTTTCCCATTTCTGGGAAGAGGCTTTTGCATAAGTTATTACCTAATAACCGATGCAAATGCATCTTTCCAAAAAAAGGAAAGAGACATTTGCATCAGTTATTACCAAATAACCGATGCAAAAGCCTCTTCCCAGAATTGGCCCCATTTCTGAGAAGAGACTTTTGCATCGTTTATTTGGTAATAACCGATGCAAATGCCTAAGCTTTTGCATCGGTTATTACCAAATAACCGACACAAAAGCCCCTTCTCAGAAATGACGCCATTTTGGGAAGAAGCTTTTGCATCAGTTTTAACAATCGATGCAAAAAGTAACCTGAGCATTTGCATCGGTTCAAAATCGATTTAAAATGGTAAAAATAACCGATTTAAAAGGTCTTTTTTGTAGTAGTGAGTAATTAAACAAAAAACAAAATGTAAAGAAATTTTTAAACGAATATTTTATATGAAGTCTATAAACAAACGTCTTGTGTGATTCGAGGGAATTTGAAAATTGTCATTAAATTAAAAGTAATTGAATTAAAAGAAATCATTTCAAATATGAGTAAAACATAACATTTATCTTCAAATTAGGAGTTTCATATTTTTATCTCCAAAATAGGGATAATTGCTATTACTTTATGATATTGTATAATGACATCTCACTATAATTTTTGGTATTATATATTGGTATTATTGATATTATACTTCTATTTTGTGAATAAAAATATGTAATTTCTATTTTGATATTTCTACTCCTAGTTTACTCATTTTTTCTTGAATAAAATTTATTTTAGAAGAAGAAAATTGTTGTAAATAATGTGAAATATGTAAAAACTGATTTTCAAAATGATGTAAAGAAAAAGGTCAAATAGCTCCAGTGCCCTTGTGGTTGGAAAATTGACACTAGTATTCCTCATGTTTTCAAAACTTATTTCTAAAATTTCCATAGTTTCAAAATGTTGCACCAACACGCATTGTGATCATTTTCCGATCATTTTCCGGCTAAGAGGGGCATTGATGTTTATTTTCTAGACCATAGGGGGAACTCGTGCTTATTTCTTATTTTTTTATTTTTTCTTTGGTTTTTTAACCTTTTTTAACTTTTTATCTATTTGTTTTCTTTTTCTAGAAAAGTATTTTAAATTTTCTTTTCAATTTTTTATAATTTTTTTAAAAATTCAAAATTCTTTGTGTTTGAAATAAAAACAAAATGAAGAAAGTAACATGTTTTCTATCTATCCCAAATTAAACATTTTTCACTTTTAATTTTTTTGGTAAGTTTAAAAAGAAAATCTAGAATAAAAAATAAAAATATGGGAAAAAAAAATGAAACATGAAAAAAGAGTCTTTTACAAAAAGAAATATTTAGAACGCCTAAAAATATCCTTAAAATTGGGATACCCAAAAAGGACATTCATTTTTATTTTTTGTTTTATTTTTTCTTATTTTATTCCTCATTTTTTGAAGTTCTCAGTTTTTTTTACTTTTTTCCGGAAAACAAAGAATAAAAATGTTAAATTGAGATGTACAAATGTAGTATATGTTAATTATTATTTTTTTGAATAAATAATTTTAAATTTCAAGAATATTATAAAACACAACTTTACAAAGAAATTTAAAACACCTTGATTAATAAGAGAAACAATAAAGGAAAAAATGGAAAATAAAAAAGAAACGAAAAATAAGAAATGAGCACCATTGTCTCTCAAGGTTTGGAAAATAGATACCAACGCTTCATTCTTTGCTGAAAATAATAAGAGAGGTATGTGTGCAATGTTTTTAAAACAAGAAAATTTTAAAAATAAGTTTTGAAAACAAGAAGAGTATTAGGGGGTGTTTGTTTTTTGGCCAGAAGAGCTTCTAGCCTCTTTTGTCTGCGCTGCGCAGACGCGCGCAGATGCTGAGCTCTGCAGATTGTTTGTTTTTTGGAAGACATTTCACTCAAAAAGGTCTTCCTGGCATCTTTTTGGAGAAGACATTAACCTATGTCTTCTAACATCTTCTAACATCTTCTCCATTTTTTTCTTCTACTTCTCTTCACTACCACCACCGTCCACCACCATCACCACCGTCCACCATCACCGCC